ATCGTGTCACAATCCGAATTCAAATTTGACGTAATATATATTAGAAAGAAACTTTTATTTTATTTTTGGATCTAAAATTAGATCCAAAACCCTTGTCGGTCCCCGCCCACTATACCAATCCGGCCGTAAACAAAATAAGTTCGCACACAACAAAAAAATCAGCATGAGTTTAAAAGAATATAAAGTAGAAAAGAATAGTTCGTTTTATAAACAGGATCGACACTCATTTTTGAAAACCGCAAATCTATATCTAATTTGCTTGGATTCATGACTGATCCTACATGCACATTGTCAAGTGATTGGAAAAAAACTTTCAGGCATAATGCAAATTCAAATTCTTTTTGAACTTTGGAGAAAATTCGATAGAAAAACAGTTCTTAATAAATAGGTTAAGTTTTGGATCAGTTGAACAAAACACACTGAGATTATATCAAATTTAAATTTGAATTCTTAGTCTGATGTTCATTTTGTAATTAAAAGAAATCCATTTTTAGTTAAATGAATCCATTAATGCAACATCTCTTTAGTCTAAACAAATCTACAATTGGTTTACTAGACTGAGCTCTAGAGGCATTTGAGTCTGAATCAACAATGGCCCAAGTAACTTGATGGGTAAGGCTATGTGTAGCTAATCCTTGTCCCGAATAGTGTGACCACGCTACTAGGGATGATATGGGTCAGAGACTAAGTGGTCAGATGAACAAGTACCCATATTAGCAGTTAAAAGCGATACAAGTACGAAAATGCCAGCTTCAGCGTCGCATAACTGTATTGCCGACTAGCTCGCACGAGAAGATAGAGAACTCTCCACAACTCTTCTGTGGTCTTTCATCTTCTCTTTCTTTTTGCTCTTTTCTGACTTAAGCGTCGAAAAACCATTGGAAAACACACATAATCGTGTTTTCCTTACCTTTACATAATTGTTAATGCACATGAGATGATCCCTAGTAGTTTTCAAAGTGATTTAAAATTTCCGAAACAGTTTATTCGAATATATATAACAGAATTAATAAAATTTTAAATATATATAATTTCAAATTTCATGACCTATTGTTGAAGTACTTGGAGAATGATCAATAAATATTTGTGATTTGATTATAGTTGGACTTTATTTATACTTTGCTTTTAAATGGTATTTTAACTATAAAAGATGTGGCAAAATCATTGATTAATTAGCAGAAGCACACAAAAAATATATGTAGGTCAATCAAGGGATAATTGTAAAAATGTCATTTTTTGTATCCATTTTCAAAAATATCACCATAGATTATCAATTTTAAAAATAAAATTAATTAACGTCTTTTAAACCATAGATCTTAAAGTTATAAACCCTAAAAAATATTTTGACATCTAACCAACTTTAAACGG